TCTTCTCCAGTATGAGGACCATGAAGAAGCCGGCAGCTATGATGAACTCTGGAAGGGGAAAGGGGGTCTTTTTAAGACCAGATACAGAGATTCAACAGTTAGCGGGGTCAATGTGGTAAAATCAAGAATTAGTGAATAGATGTTTAACACAGGAAGGAAATAGTAGACAGGATATCTACTGTAGAAGATGAAAACAGATGAAATAGAAAATATCAGCATTAATAGGAGTAATAGTATTTTGAGCTATAACAAACAGCCTTTCAATCTTGCGGTTTCACATGACTGTGGAGCAAATATGTTTGAATTTTGGACCACAAATACTTTGAACAGGTGACAATCTGAAAATCTGAGGTTGTTCATGGATAAAAAATAACATTAATTGGGAATACAGATCAATGCATTGTAAATATATGATATATTATCTTATATTATATTGTTTCCTTTACGAGTTCGTCTAAATCATTATTCCGAGATACCTCCACCTCCCGAGCATCCAGCACTGTGCCAATGTCTGACAGATAATCCGGAATGATGTCGAGCAGACATGCTGCCAGGAAAACCCCACCAGCAAAGCAGCTGATCAAACTGAGAACCATGCGATGAATATCTGCAAAGAGGAAGACAAAACATGCTTTATGTTTCAGCACAAACTCAAACACAGCAGTAAAACCTTGTCCTATATAATGGCTTTTTTATTGGTTTATTTAGCCTTCTATAACCAGGAAACCCAATGGAGATCAAATTTCTTTCACAACAGAGGCCTGGCCAGATGGCAGTCTGTATTACTCCCCTAGCTGTACTAGCTTATATGTTGATTTCTTTTATTAGAACATAACAGATAAAAAGCCCATGCTACTGACTAGTATGCAAAATGTATTGCTGGGAATCTAATAAACTATGACCTGTCACTAAAACATACTGTTTACAAATAAAGAACACTGACAATGATGTCATCATTTTTTAACACAGGAGGGGTCGGGCTCTTGTTAAATCACTACTAGCCTTCAGCTTCATCTGATCGTTCAGTAGAACCTAAACCTAAATCTGAAAGATTAATGGTACATGTCCAACTATAAATCACGGGATTTCCCTCCACCCTTTGAATTGTTGGAACATCATGTGACACATGTCTGTTCACGCTCATGAGCAAAGATGACTCAAAAGAGTACTCCAGCAGCAATAAGCCAGAATTGATGCTTTCACTTCCTTGTAAGAAAGCCGAACTTAACTCACCTCTATAACACATTTTTTTCAAATTCATATTTTCACTTTTGTGTTCTAGAAATGTGACATCAGAGTTTTAACCTTCACAGCTATCAGGTGACTGAAGCCAGAGGTCAGAGGATGGTTCACTTGATTGGACAGATTAACCCTTTAGACTGACATAAATGACTGCTGTGATATTAGAAATAATAAACCGTCAAAATGTAGACATTAAAATATCTACAGCATTATCTTGCCCTCCACGTGTGAGACCCACCCTGTTTTTCAACACTTATGCTGCGCATGTTCAGTTTCCAGGACCGGGCTAAAAAAAAAAATCAACTGCAGCACTTAAAACATTTCAGCGAGGTGATATGTGATCATGTGATCCACTGGAAGCTACAACGGTGAAACCATTGAGCTCCTGTAACTGGGCTTTTCTGAAGCTACACTAAACTTCGTTTACATTTCTTGCAAATTAAGGTTTCCGCCTTTATCTGTAAATGGCAGCAAATCCCAAAAGAGGCAGGAATACCTTACAGGAATGAGCAACTTCTCCCGTTTAGCTCGGCATCGGTGACATCGAGACACAACTAACAGAGAACAAGTAATATTAATAATTTGTTCCCCCTTTCCGCGTTTTGAGCTGAGATTGGTGAGATCTCGGTATTTGAAAATCAGATTATAGCAGTCACATATTTTATCCTCTCAAATACAGATACTGCTGCTATTAGCAGCTGCTTATGCCATTCCTTTTTCATATTAGTGTGTACCAACCTGTCCCTGTCTCTCTGAACCATTTGATTCGAGCGGGGATAAATCCAAAAAGAAGCGTTAGGAGCAACAACCCGATCAGAGCGCCGATTTTCACCTGGAACAGATACTCCATCGTGTAG